AATTCAGTGTGTGGAGTGTGAAGGATGTGTGTTTGTGTTTATTTTCATGGTCATGATATGCACTAAAGATGGTGTTTGATTTCGTTGTACGAGGTGCAATGACAATAAAGTAAACTAAATGGCACCAGATAACGGACTTCAAGGGGGTGGGATTTAAATCTCTTATGGGGGCATACTCTTATGGGGGCATTTCCAACTGCAGTTGCTAAATGAGGACCATCTATATAATAATATTTAGCTTTGAAACATGATTTGAAACTTGATTCAAGACTCCAAATTGATTCTGCATTTACCTGACCCTTGAGCTCAGATTGGTCATCTCTTACAATTGCACAATCCTGGGTATTTTCATACATGAATAGACATCCCCTCCCACCAGCCATGTGAAGATAAAAGTGAACCCAGAATCCACCTAATCAATAGTTCCTTCCTCCCTCTGCTTTCTGCAAGGGAGAGTTTGGTGGATATCATGGTATCTGGGAATGACTTTGGGAGGCAGGGCAAAGAGACACAACCAAGGGAACAGATAGATACAAGGTAGCTGAGCCCACAGCAGGAATGTGGGGAAGATAAGAGACTCAGAAGAAACCCTCCCTAGTTTCATCGGCTGTAAAGACGATAGAAGGGGAGAAGCACTTTCAGACTTGGAATTGTGCATACAACAGAATAATAGGGTTGGAAGGGACCTTGGAGTCTTCTAGTCCAGGAGTCTCCAACCTTGGCAACTTTAAGACTTGTGGACTTCAACTCCCAGAATTCTGGGAGTTGAAGTCCACATGTCTTAAAGTTGCCATGGTTGGAAACCCCTATTCTAGTCTAGCCCCCTGTATCATTCCAAACACATAGCTGTCCAGTCTCTTGTTGGATACCTTGAGTGATGGAGCACTCAGAAATTCTGGAGGTAATGCATTCCACTGGTTAATTGCTCTCACTGTCAGGAAATTTCTTTTTAGTTCTAGGTTTGATCTCTAATGATCTTCCACCCATTACTTCTAGTCTCGGGTGCTTTGGAGACTAGTCAACCCTCAGGTACTGGAAGACTTGATCACATGATCCCTAGTCCTTCTATTCATTAGACTAGACATACCTAGTTCCCTCAATTGTTCATAATATGGTTTAGCATCCTGTTTTCCCCCCACCCCAAATAGTCTTTCTTGCTCTTCTGTATGTTCCTTCTATAGTCTCAACATCTTTGTGTGTTGTGGTCATCAGAACTGGATGCAGTATTCCAAGGGTGGTCTCACCACTGCAGTGTAAAGCATACAGTTCTTCAGAAGTTGATCATGAGCTTCTTAAGAAGATCAGCAAAAGTAGAGAAATTATCTTGAGAGAAAATACCCTAAGGTCCTTTGCCTACTGCAGAGATGAAAAGCTGTGTGCCCATCCTTGAGTAAATAAATAAGTACCAGAATGAAAATGAGTTGTCGCCATTGCTAGTTCCTATCTGACCTCTAATGCCTCAATTCCCAGTCACTGACAGTCATCTGACACCCTTCATAGGTCAAAAAAGCCAAACAGATTTTGCACACACGGAGATTGTCCTTAGATAGGGCTGGAATAAGGTAGAAGAATGTGAACCAATACTGATAAGGATGACAGTCTCACTGGTGGCCAGGATGAGACAAAAGCGGAAGGGTTAAGAGGAAGCCAAGCAGTTTTGTGGTGTAGATAGGGGCAAGTGAGGAACAGCCATCTAC